AGGAAGAGGAAGAGGAAGAAGAAGGGGTCTGTGGAGTCCTTGATGATCTCTGAGCTTGGTAGTTTCTTGCCGACGTTTCATGGCCCAACTAGGTAACATCATCAGTGCTAGAAGGGAATGGGGTTTGCAGGGAGGAGGAGGAGAACTGTGGGGTCTGTATTGGGTTCTCTCAGCTCAGTTGTTTTCTTGCAGATATTTCATATGTAAAAAGAGAGCAGACCCCACTCCTTATTAGCACTGATAACGTTCCCTAGTCGGGTCAAGAAACGTCCGCAAGACTACTGCAACATTGGGAGAGCACCAAGTAGCCCAACGTCGTCGTCGTCGTCGTCATCATCCTCCTCCTTCTCCTCCCCCTCCTCCTCCTCCTCTCTGAAAACCCCACTCCCTTCTACCACTGATGATGCTACCTAGTTGGGTCAGGAAATGTCTGCAGGGAAACAAGCCAGCTCAGAGAGCGCCAAGAAGCCCACATTTCAACCCTGAGCCACAGAGATGTTCTTCCAGCCAACTTTACGGCCACATCATGAGTTGGAGAGGGGAGTCGCCAGAATGCAGCTCCGGGGCCGAAAATCCAGGGCTCCAAACCTCTTCCTCGTCCATGAGATTCGAATCCACCACCCTTGCAACCCCCATTCATCAGGCTGAATGAGGATGGTGGAGGATCCTGGCTAGTTTTGTAGCTCCTTCCGAGTGGTCTGTTCACAAAGGCCATTCCTCACATCTGGCTTACCTCTTGGAGCAAGGGTCCCCAACTTTTCGGACCTCAGGGACCCATAAGTTTTAAATCCGGCGGACCACGAATATGATCTGCCTAATGATCGGCTGGGTGGGCGTGGCTAGGTGGTCATGTGACTGTGTGGGCATGGCCAACTCGATGTCACTCACATCCAGGGGCACCACGGCAGCCTTTACTCACCCCTCCCCTCCCAGTCACTCCTCCAGAGGTGGGTTGCTACCGGTTCGCACCGGTTCAAGTGAACTGGTACGGACAGCAGGCTGGCCATGCCCCAAAACTGCTTCCCCGATTGCCGACATGTTTTTGAGTCTTTTTATAATGTTCTGCGCATGGGCAGAACAATTTACAGGCAGCCGCTTATGCGCAAGCAACGTGTGGCAGGAAAACGTGCGCGAAGCAAACTGGCAGTAACCCACCCCTGCACTCCCCACCTCCCCGCCAAGGCTCCTTAGGGCCCCGACAGGACGCAGTTGTTGGAGCTAAGCCGCCACCGTGAGAAAGAGTTGGCAAAACAGCTCAGTTCAAATTGGATCTGACCGAGAAGGAGGCTCAGCAGAAGCAGCTCACTGAGGACTAGAAGCATGGGCTTTCCAAGCAGAGGGAAGACCTGCGGGAGTGCAAGGCCAGGTGCCGGCACCTGGGGGCTCAGCAGGCTGAGATGGTCAGCCAGTTCCAAGCCATGATGCAGTCCCACTGGAACGAGGCCCTCCGGCTCTTCGCCACCAGCGGC